CAGAGGATCGTGAAGATCTAAGCTCTGTAAATTGTTTACTGCACTTGTTTCTTTAGCATCTCAGTGCCCTCCAGGAGACTGAAGTTCAGTATGACCTCCTTACCTGTCACATTGTATTTGGTCCCAGACGTTCATGTCTTGATGAAGTTAACTTATGTTTTATACAGTAAAGTACTGTAGTGCTCTGGAAGGAGCTCTGAGCACAACACTTGGGTGACTTTGTGTTGGTTACACACCTCAAGTTTATCACATGCTGTTATGCTGCCTGGTTTTAATGAAAGCTCAGCCTTAAAAAGGCCCACGCTGTAAGACTGGTAACAGTCAGGGGAATTGGCCTTTTGGCTGCCTTTCTCTCTCATGGCTGGCAGTTATGCTTATAATCGATTGTGAGAGATGTGTGTGTTGTCGTTATGTACGCTGCCATGCAAGTGAGATTGTTTCCAATTCGAGGTGATTTACTTGAAGAGTAAAACATTTAAATGTGCCTTATTCAGAACCCGAAGTAATGTTTTCTTTCCCCCAAAGCTAGATTGTAATTATGCTTAGGCACCTTTCAGATTATTTTGTGAGGGACTCTTCACAAACTAGGCTTGAGCATGTTTGAAAGTTTTACTCAGTCTTTTTAATCAGTCAGAAGCCAACCATCTCTTTGGCAAATAACAGCTTCATTTGCAGTGACAGCTGGATTGTGCTCAGTGTAGTTTTATATGTGTTTTGGATTTACTTTGTATCTATGAAATGTTATGTTTTGGGGTGGGTGGTATTTAACTTTCTGAAAAACAATCCAGATTCTGATCTTGATTGTCAAATAAGATCGTTGCCATCAGCTGAGTTTGTGACCAAAACAATTATTTAAAAAGTAAAAAAAAAAAAAAATTTTTTTTTAAAAAGAAAAAAAAAAAAAAAAAGTCGCAGTTGCATAAAGCTAAAGAATAAGCTCCTGACTTGTAATTATAAACCCGGAGGGCAAATGCTCTGAAAGTAAAGATAAAAATTTGTCTGCCTCAATTCTTGTATAAACTTGTGAGGAAGAAAACAAAACCCTACACCTGTACGTGTGGGAAGCTCCTACATAACCAGGGTCATGCACTCCAGGTCAGAGGGGGAATTTCACAACGCAGCAGATGGCAGTATCTTTCATTTCTGGTGCTGCTTGCAAGGGAAATTTAGGCATTCTGCCAGATTTCCTTCTTCCACCTTCAGTGGGAGGTACAGGTCAATATCTGACATCCAACTTTTTTGGGGATTTAACAGTTTATCAATCAGGTAGCAATGATTCAATTCACTAGTCTTCACTGGGTTTTATTTTGTCCCAGACAACAGGATTTTCCCCCCAGCCTGGACATGATACTTTTTCCCAAAATAAAGGGAAGGCATAGCAATGGGTAAGGTTTTTGTATCCTAACCACTTCAAGTTACTAGTTTATTTTTCTTTTACAATTAATACTTAAATGGCTAATTCAGTTTTTGTAATGGGTGAGTCTATTGCACTTTTAAGTTGGCACAGCCGCAAATAATGCTGGATATATTATGTATATTTTGTATTATGCGCAAGGGGATGGTTTTGTTTTTAGTTTTACTTTTTTAAAACAGCACGTTACAGGTTAAATAATATTCTGAAATGTTGAGCTTCAGCATGTGCTTCTGTTTGTGCTTGCAGCCAGAAAAGTCAGGAATACCTTCAGCAAACTCAAGTTATATCTGATTCTGGTCTTGAAATCTAGCTACTGACTTCTTGAAGTACTAGAATCAAGTCCAAACTCAGAGTTAGTTTCATATGAGCCTATGTATAGATTTGGGACGTATAAGAGAGTTTATAATCAAACTGACTTTTGAAAGCTAGGATGTAAGCTCTATGGGAGCAGGGACTGTATCACTGTGGTGCCTACCTGAGGGCCTAACAGCGTTACTACAATAAAAACAAGAATACTGCTGAACACAGACTCATTTATTTTTAAACAGCTAAAAAGAAGAACTGCTACTGAAAAAGCACTACATAAAATGGGGCCAAATATGTCTTTGTTCCAGTAGCACACAGTGAAAACCCTAAGGGGGCGATTCTGCTAGGTATACAAAGAAGCTGCACTTGAAGTCTTGTAGGTTATAGTCATGAGTATAACACTACTGGTAAGCTATATTGTAGTGTAAGTTCATATTAGTGTAAAATATCTATATTTGAATAACTCTGGTTGAATAGTTGGTGTTAAAACCTTACCATGGTCAGGCCTTCCTATAAACATGAGGTTATCGCCACTGGCATCTAAAATCACACCATACTCTGCCAGCCCCATGCCCTACACTTTATACTATGTACAGAATTGGTCAGCAGTAGCGTCTCCTGCACCAGCTCTGGCTACTCCCCATCATATGCTAGAAAAGCTGAATGCAACATTTCAGCAGGAGCACGGTGGGAAAGGAAGAGGGAAGAACTTGGCTGTGAACAGGAAGACAGTCATGGCAGTAACTACCACCTGAAAACTAGCCATTTTCACAGAGCTTCCTTTTTTTTCCCCACTTTCAACTCCTCCATATTTTTAACAGTGGTACATAAACATTCAGGCTACCAACTTTAACACTTCCGTAATACAGAACCAGATGACCCTAATCTTAAGGCAAAAAACTCCATCTTTCACCAAGTCTCAGTGCTCTGCAGAATTGAAAGCCAGATTCCTTATATACTGCCTTGTGTGTATTACCCTTCATATCCAAAACTGAGGTACAACAAAAGCTTGCAAATTAAAGACTGAAGAAAATGAAGGTATGAAAATGCATCTCAAAATCTACAGTGAATTGCCTCAACTTTTTATTGCCTTTAAAGGTAATAAAGTGTACATAATTTTCACAGCCTTAGAAAAGTTGAGTCCTATCTTTTAAGTCGACCTTTCTGCCCTCATTAATGATCAATTATATGCAATCAAAGCTTTGGTGTACTAGCAGTTTTTAAAACGTATTTGCCTCTTTCTCTTAAAATAGTCAAAATGGAACTTCTAAAACAGAACTGCTATAAAGATACATCAGGATGCTAATTTTTGTAACACTTGATAAGGTCAAATTGTATGGTTGGTTTGTTTTTAAAAAACAGGTTTAAGGTACTCAAAGAAACCGCTGATTTATAGTCATCAGCCTATTCTTAACTCTCTTTCTTCAAGTATCTCCACAGGATACTTAATGGAAGAGCTCAAGATTGAGTTTTCAGAGCTTTTTGGCGGGCAAGGGGTAGCATTGTCTGCTTTCACAGACAATTTCACTTTGTTAATTAGTTTTAGCAGTTTTTTCCTTTTAATGTTTTTGATGCAGCAAATGAATGTGTTAGTTTATGAAACTAGAAATTCCTTGAACAGCTATGGGAAAAGCAAGCTGAGAGAAAAGACAAAAATCTAGTTTAAAGTTGAGCAATCTAAAGGCTTCACTCCTGAGTGTGACAGTGGCACTTTCATGAGTGACGGCTGAAGCAAGGGCCTGTATTTCCCAGCACAGTCAGCACCTGGGCAGACTGGGAGCCGCTCCTCCCACACAGCCGTCTCTCGGCTGCCATCTCCTGGGTAGGCTCCTTATAACACAGTCCCGTCCCCCTCGCCCCGTTTATTTCACGACAATCCATCAGTTACTGTTTTCATAGTATGTATCAGGCTGAGATTCTCTTGAGAACAGAGCAGAATGAAAGATGAAAATCAGGAAAGGAAACTCTTAAAATTAAGCAGTGCTGGTATATGGACGTTCTGCCAGACAAAGGGATAGATCAGTGTATTCAAATGTTGCCAGCCAAGACCAAGACATCTTTTCAGAAGGACAAATTCTCGCTCTGAAGACATGCGCTTCACTTCCACAAACACCCCTCATCTGGCAGATCTCTACAGGAATCACACGATGACCCTCTGGTCTGCAGCATCTGTTCCCGGGAACATGTCTGCACCTGGAGCCACCACCTCTGCAGCACACTGTGACACAGCTGGAAGAGCCACAGATGGGTGGGATTACTCTCCCCTATAGCTAAGGCAGGGAAACAGCTGGACTCATCCCAGAAAGCTGGGACTGCATTGTATATTGATCTGCAGCTGCCTATCATTCCACTCATGGACCTCACCAGAACACAAGGTAGCCCTCATCCATCAGCCTAGTCCTGCATGTGTGGAAACCAGGACGTGTGCAGCCACATCTTTCCCTGACACACAGTCAGACAAAGCTGGGATTCATGCCCTGGCCTGGAAATTTGGAAGCACTTCTGGGTCGCTCCAGACATAGCCTTAGGCAGCTATCTTAGAAGAGAGTAATTTGCCCTCTTAGGATAATATTGCCCTAGCAGAGATGGTAGCCCTACAGAGGGAGCTAGAACACCAAGCTCAGAGTATGGACTTAAATTTCAGTGAGATACATTTTACCTCTAATTATGCACATCATCCCTCCTAGGGGCATTTCCATTTCGCTTTTAGATGCCAGCTGAAGAACCCGAAGTTACACAAGACCGATACATCATTGTTCCAGAACAAAGCAGTACTTGCCTCATGCACAGCTAGGGACACAGAATGACATTTCATTGTTTTGTCCATGGCAGCGTACACACATTGTAACACTCAGCTGTGACTCAGTACAACATCTCTTCCATTCATTGTTCCTGGTCACTGTGGGGAAGTACACAATTATTCTTTCTCTTCTTTTCTGCACCCCCCTTCCCAGCTGCATTGCTGATGGGGAAGGTGCAGTTAAGGTCACCCTGGAGAAATCTTCCAGGAGGCTGCAGCACTAGAGCGGCACTAGTGCAACACAGGAATTGCCCCGATCATAGCGCCCCAAGGACAATTTAACTGTTCTAAATACCACTATTTTTCTGTATCAGAGCACAGCACCAGTATGCAAGCACTGAGCAGGTTTTACTTCATTCATAAACCATCCACTACAAGGCAAGCTAGCCATTTATTTTTGTGAAATTAATACACTAATTAGTTGCATGGTAACAGCAAACACAAATGTGGAAAAACGAACACCAAAAATGGGAAAGTTTGTGTATTGCTTTATTTTCTAAAAACAAAACAATTAAATTTGACAGAGGAAGTGATCTGTACTCAGGATTCTGTACAATTCCCAGTAAAAATGACATTCAAGTAGCAGAGGGCTTCTCTCCAACCTCCAAAGCAAAGGAAAATTCAGCCTTTGAAGTTCATCAGCTCTGCCTAGATAACAGGGCCCACGTGGTTTGGAGGCTGTGTGTGTGTAAGCGCACAAGGAGCAGCTGCTGTCCTGCAGAAGAAGGACTTGCTCACTTCCACTGAGCAAAGTGCATCAGTAAGTTAACAAGCACAATTTAACCATGCTTCTGCCTGAAATTGTATGTTTCATTGGGGTTTACTTAGTCCAGATACAGTAACCATTGATCTGCCTGAAATTGTATGTTTCATTGGGGTTTACTTAGTCCAGATACAGTAACCATCACTAAGTATTAACGCTGATTGAGATCACTGGGGGGAAAAAAGATCATCACCTATTTTTCTCATTTTATTTTGTGCAGCTAGCAGCTGTTTGTAGATTTTTACTGCATACACAATGAAATGGATTATACAGCTGAGGCTTAAGTGTTGTGTGATGTAATGACATACAAACTTGAGCAAATCATTTTACTTTTCTTTACCTCATTTCCCTTCCTTTATATCTATCTTGTCTACATTGATAATGATGACTAGATAAAACTGCCTCTCAGCATTAGTAAAAATGCGATACACAATGGGACTTTGAACTCTTGCCATCTGAACACTATCATGGCACAGTACAATAATTTAAATAAAATGACCTTACTCAAGTGAGCAGCCCATTGTTTCCAGTGGAAGCAGAGGCATACTATGTCAGTCTTTTCCTCTTTTAACTAGGTTTCAAAACAGTAAGAAGAGAAAAACTGTATTAAAATCATAAAAGTGAATATAAATCCATATATAAACTGCAAAAAGTTCAATAGACTCCCTTTCCTTTAAAAAACTAATCCATTTCTATTACTTTGAACCCTAACATGTCTAAAGTCAAACTACTAAAACTAATTAAATTTATAGTTGTCCATTTGTAATAATAGCTGGCTTTTTTTTTCTGCAGCACCACAGAATTACACAGCCAAAAGAGCTCCTTCAAAATTAATCATGTCTAGACGTCATTAAGTAGTTACAGGTTTGTGTGTTATTGCTAATGCAAGTTTGTTGCTGGTAGAGTATTACATCTAACTTTGAATCAAGGTCTGTCCATATTTTTTTAATGCAATGGACTTGTAGTATCAGCTGCACAGTAAAAAAGTTTCTGTGAGACAGAGCTACTGGAGCGTAACCACTACTAAAGTTAGTAACTCTGGGGTATAGTTTGTATTTTCTTCTCTGTCTGTATCAAAACGTTTAATCTATTTCAAGTAGCTTTCATGTTACAAGAATGTCAAAATAGCATAAAGCTTGCAACCTGATTCTACAGTCATATAAAATTGAACTACTCAAGACTTTTTTTTAAGATTAAAAAAAATCCAATTGTCCCGTTGTGACCTCCCATGCAGACAGTGAACACAGACTACCAATGTAAAGGCATTAAAGCAGTATATATCACAGAGGACTAAATACTTTGCAACCAAGAATTTTAGGGAAGATTGTTTTAAAAATCAACTCTGTGTTAAAAGGCACAAAGAGATGATTTCAAAGGAGAGCCAGGAACACTTAAAAACACTAATTATTACTCATTCATTTCATTCAGTCATAATTAAATTATTTGACTGAAATGTCTGTTACAACTGCTTAGAAACATACAGATTCTCTATAAAAACAACTCAAAGCTAAACCAGTATGCTCATGAGGAATGGTAACACTTTATTTTTAAAACAGTACAGTTATTTTTCTGAATTTGCCCAAAAGCATTCCTTGTTTTCTTTCCAAGAATATTCGTCCTCATAAATCTCCTGCAAATATAAACAAAGAATGGGAAATATTGTGGGAGTCTGCTACATACAGCCACAAGCCAGGCCAAACAACTCAACAGCCATCCTGCTATTATTTACTGATCACAACAGGACTACACAGCACTTGGCTGGCAAACAGAAAAGAGAGCAGCACCCTTAGAACATACTGACTTACATGTGGGCAGATGCTGAACCTCAGGCTGAAGTTAAATTAAATTTAGAAGGGCCCATCTATACTGAAGTCAATTCAAGAAAGAGATCTAGAAGAAATTATGTAAAAGCTGTAGAGTACACAGCACTTGTGTCTGAAACTGCCCTTTTTACATGTTGTCATGTTAACCTACTGTACTATCATTTTTAGAATATTTAAGTGTATACAAAATGTCAGTATTAAAAAAATAAACATGACAACAATACACAAAATACAGTAAGTATTAGATCTTCAGGACAGGCTGGACTACCCAGAAGCAGTCCAGTCCTAAGCAGCAAATTCAGCAGGGCTCTGAGCCTCTGATTATTCTTTCTGAGACCACAGAACTCCAGTCTCCTGAAAGATGTGTCAGAAAAGTGGAGTGATGCAGAGAACATCACTGTTACCACATGCCAAGTTCTAACTGGGAGAGAAGGCAGAGGTAATGCTCATTACTTGCATGCAACGCTGTGGTTATGCAATGAGGCTCTTTCTAGACCTGGGCTGGTCTCTCCACACATTGTTGTGTGCCCATACTAGCTTTGAGACCTCTGCTCATCCCTTCATTGTGTGCTGTTGCTTAATGCTTTGTGCTTTCTCAAGGCCACGATGAGGGGAAAACAGAAAGACAAATGCCACTTTTACTTGCAAAGTGCAATGCTGTCCAAAGCAAAGCTGACTCAAAGTTCTTCCGCAAGCCTGTGCAGAACTGAGTTTTGCCACTCAACAGAGAAGAGCTCAGAGCTCCTTCATTTTGACCCCAGGATGGCGTTAAAAGGAAGAGGAGCTGGATCGTACAGGCAAGGGAGGGCCTTCCAGGTGCCCTACCTGCCACAGATGGGCCTGGCTGCATTAGAGGAAACTGATGCTAGACACTGGCATCCCATCAGGAGTGACTGCTGCCCGTAATGCTTCAGCTGCTTCCCTTAAGAGCAGCAGCAGCCTTTAGCCCAGCTGTTGAAGACTCTGGCACAGGCCTAAAATCAAATTTGTCCCCAAACATACCTTTTTCCATATTGGGACGGATGCTTTTAACGTATTGATGCAGTACATTACAGCTTCAAGGGATTCTGCTCTATGTGGAGAGGAGACTGCAATAATTACACTTGCTTCAGTTATTGGAACCACACTAGGGAGAGAAGAGGAACAACAGCAGCTTTAGCTAATGCTTAACATCAAGAGCACCCAAAAATTGTGGCCATGTCACGTCAGTATCCTGGCCACACACTCTCCTGACTCATTCATACTGAGCAAGTGTCAAGCCATGTCCAAAAGATTATACACTTCTTAAAAGAAAGAAAACCACAACCAAAATTAGTACCAGATGTGAGAATTTCATGCTTCAGAATAAACAAACCCACCAGACACAGGCTTTTTTCTTCCATTCTTTCTTTTTTTAAAAATAAAGTCTATGGAATTAAGAGGAGAAAATTGCTAACTTGCAACAATGCATAGGAAACTCACTGGAAGCTGGCTTAATAATGAACAATAACAAGTTAGGAACAGCCAGTTCTTATCTGAAAACCTAAGAAATCATCTCAGTTTTCACAAGAATTTGTGAAAGAAGAAATTAAGTGCCTCAAACAATGCAGATTTTGCAATGCAACCTAATTTTTGACAAATTCTGATTTCAAATTACGAAGTTTTTCTTGTTTGGTGTGTTGTTTTCTAAACGTAACGGAAGTAGCACAAGGTTTTGTTTTGCTCCTCACAAGGGTAGTATTCCCAAAAGCTGCCTCCAAACCCTCCCTCTATAGCAAGACTCCTCTGGCAAACAGTTCATAGGAAAAATCTAAGCATACATGCTTTAAGCTGCCCTCAAGAGAATCACTCTCTCTGTTGACTACAGAGGAAATCTAAGGAAACTACCCCTCAGAGCTAATATTACCCTTTGCGATCACCTCCTAAATTCCTTCTGCTGAGAGAAAAGGAGACAAGCATTTGCAACAGACTCTGCAAATTCTGCTAGTTTCAGTGAGAAATCTGATGAACAGTGAAGGCTCAAAAGTATGTCAGACACTAGTATTCCATGTTTTGAACCCAACAGAAAATGCTTATCCAAGACTCAAGGAACAACAGGAGGTTCTCCAGCAAGCATGGCTGGCAATTACCATGCCTCTCCCCTCCCCATAGTCTAAGCTTTCAGGTTTCCTATGGCATAATTTGACTTAAATCTGACAATAAGAACATTCTGCAGCACCTCAATGGAAGACAGAAGAAAAAAGAAAGTGCTGCCATCTTCACAACTTTAAAAAAAGACAAAAAAACCAAACAGCATCCCCTTCCCTGGAATGGAATCTCAATCCCTTCTCCCCACTTTCAAACCATCACACCACCATCAAGGATCCTGCAGACTAAATGTGGACTCCAGCAAACACTACCAACACACGCATTTTTGAAAAGATGATTTCTGAAACTTAGCTCCGCAGCGAGAGGTTGATCCTGCAGCCAGCTTTGCTGCATTACAGTATATAAAGACTTCTGCACGTCCTGCAGCTATGTAAGCACAGTCATGCACCAGACAAGGATTAATATTCCACTTGCAAAAGGATGGGGTCTGGCCATACATACCCAAGTCTATGGTGCACTGCAATATGTTTGACTGACGGCCATTTCTGTCTAACATCTCTGCAGATTTTCTTTATTTCAGTCTCTGCCATTGAAGTATATGCTTCGTATTCTAAGTGAATCACTTTTTTCCCTTCAAAATTATTTCTTGTAGTACCTAAACACAAATGATTTATCAATCAAAAGCACTGAATAAGTAAATACGTATTA